GGTTATCATACTAATGTGACGAGTGGTGTGGTATCCAACTCAGTATTATTTATTGACGTAGTTAGTAACATGAATTTTTTTTAATATAACATTAGTCTTTAACCGGTTACCCGAATACTTAAGTTTAAAACTTTATATCTTAGGTACCAAAATAGAAGTTTGAAAGTATATGTTACCCAAAATAAGAATCAAGTTAAAATACATTATTTTTTCATGTAATTTGCCTTAAAATATAACCTTGTAAGGTTCACTTAACTGACATTATAACTTGGGTCTCCAAATATTCTCCAAGGTCACTGGTTCGTGCAAACCATCGAAATTTCTCCGACTGTCTGTACAAAAGTTGGTTCGAATACTTACAGTTAAAAAATTAAATAAATAAAATAAAGTAATTGAATTTAAATTATGTGTGGTCATAATCCAGTTAAGTAGCATACATTTGATGTCCACTTTTTATACCAGAAAGTGGAGTTGCAACACTTATCTCCATGAGATATATTAATTATATATTGCCACGTCATCAATCCTAACATGTGATACAAGCAAAAATCGTACCTATATTTTTTATTTTTTCTATTAACCTTGATATCCAACTCGGTATGCGAGCCGACTAATTCCAAGACAACCATAATGTTTTGCAGATAGTACAGCATCACCGCATTTGAACTTTCGTGGTCACATTTGGATTTTTATTTCTTCTTGGATTTGAACATGGAATCTTCTAGTACTTTTGATCTTTGAAGTCAAGCTTAAACCAATCAGACATCAAATAAACTCATATACCCTCTACATCTTTGATGAGATATGAACCTTTGAATTCTTAGAAGATCAAAGACTACGATACCACTAGGCTAAAGACCATTTGATTATATTTTTTATTTTTATTAATTAATTTTGGTAATAAAAATGAGTCGTGTAACACTAGGGGTCCAAGAAAAATATATGATAAAAAAATTTAAAAAATATTAATTACACATCAAAATCAAAAATGAGTGATGTACTAATCCGCATTTATAACTGGTAGTGGTCGTTTATCAGATGTTTAATGAATAAGAGTTTATTGAATATTATTTATCTTACTGGATGAGCATGATAATTACTTGAAATATTATCTGATAACAGATACAATAACTAACAAGAACTGGGAATGTTATATGTTAAATGACCGAAAAACTCATATCTCGTTAATGTTTACCAAGTAAAAACGTCTATCAACGATCTATTTTGATGGTTGAAAATATTACCAGATAAGGTAAGTAAAGATTATGACTCTTGTCATTAAACATTAAACGTTTGGTAAACGACCTCTGGAGCTATATTTTCGGAAAATGTAGAAGTCTCTGCTTTTTAATGTTACTGGTAAAAATGAAAGTTATGGTGAGAAAGACGTTCCAATATTTTTGGAGGATCTGTTACACTTGAAACTTTCGATTACACTGCAAAAAATGAGATAACAAAGAAAAATATATACAAATTACAGAAGCGAGATAAGGCGTACTATTTCTGTTTTCCGGTAGAAATTAAAGTGCCACTGAGGATGGCTATATTTTTTACATTCCTTAACAAATGATACTAAACAATGTAAAATAATTTTGGGGTTTCGTTCAAAATCACACATTTAACATGCTAAAGAATTACCCCAATGGTGAGAATGGTAAGAAGTGATCACCACCCTTGAATAATTTCTTGTGAGAAACACAATTCATGGATCACCATGAGATTAAAAATAATCAACAGTAAATATATCTTCTTACATTTTTCATTTTTAACTCATTTTCTTATACGATCCTTCGTCTGTCACCTTGTTGTCTTATATTTTGTAATTTTATGTATCCCTCTCAGACGCCCAACGTCTCTCTCTCTATGTGTGTGTGTGTATATATATATATATATATAATTTCCTTCTAGGCCTTGTCATTTTTGCTTCCACCTGTATTTGTTTATTATTGCTAATTAAAAACAAAAACGATTGATAGGGAAGTTTGAACCATAAAAGCTAATGCTCTTCTTCATTATTCTTCTAATTAATCTCATATTAATTAATTAATTATATATATATATATGTATATATATATATATATGTGTGTGTGTGTGTGTATGTAGGGTTGGGTTCACGTGAGACCAAGGGTTTTTCGTGAGACCCGCTAGACCAATTTATGTTTTTGAATTTTTGTAAAATGGATGTATCATCGTTTGAACCTTTCTTGGTGTTAATATATATATAGGCAAAGGATTGTTCAAAAAAGAAAGTTATGCAGAAAAGCATAAAAAGAGATTTGAATCCTTGATAACTTTTAATCTCATATACACCCATGAATTGCGCTTTAGAAGGGAATCGTCACGGTGCATCTTGGTGCACCTTATTAGTATTGACATTCAATTAGAATTGATCCAAGGGTGGAGATCTCTTCTTACTCTTCTCCTAATTGAAGGGATCATCACCCTTGTATCAATAATAATTGAAGATCAACATTAAGGCGGTGCACCAAGATGCACTGAATCAAGTCCTGTAAGAAGCATAATTCATGAGGTGGGGATGAGATTAAAACTTTTTAAAGATTCAAATCTTTTTTTATGCTTCTTATCTTAACTCATATTCTCTCATAATTCTCTCTCTCTCTCTCTCTATATATATATGTGTATATATATATATATATATATTATATATATATATATCACATGTTACATCATATTAATTTGTCATAAGTGTCTAGCTTTAACTTGGCTATCTTTCAAACAACTATATTTTAGTCCCCTACCACTTACTAGTTTTGCTATGGTGGTTTGTCATTTTGTTCGGTTTTGATCCCTCTCACTAAACAAATGGGAATCTCTATCACATACAAATCTTTCTATCGAGAAAGCCTGACGACGGTTAGCTGCTTTCTGGTGAGTTACTGATTATCAACTCTCATCCGTTATATAGTGGATATCTTTCTATTTTTCTCTTACTTTATTTTATTTTACAGATTTTGCCCATTTTCAAAGGATTCGTGGGATGGGTAAAGAACCCTCAAACCCTGTTCAGTTTCACCAAATTTTTTAAGCGATTTGAATTTCGTAGAATCATTTGAAATTTCAGTTTTATAGGATTTAAAATGGAATTGAATTCCATAATTTATAGATATCTTATAATTAAAAAAAATAGATTACAAATAATTATAATTATTTGAGTCTTTGGTCTAACGTTATGCGAGTCTTTGGCCTCCTAGAAGGTCAGGGGTTCAAACCTCATCAAATGTGAGAAGGGTGTGTGAGTTTATTTTTTCTATTTGTCGTATATAAATATTATATACCTCAAAAAAAACATTCAAATGAGGAATAAAAATCCCCTTGTGACCATGGAGGTTCAAATACACTGACTTCAAACTATCTGCAAAACAGGTGGTCGTCCTGAGATTAGTCGGTTTACATAACGGGTTGGATATCCATGTTAATAGAAAAAACATTCAAACAATTGCATTTGCTGCTTAGCCAGATGAAATTTGTTTATTATTGGGCCTCACCAAAGTTTGAGCCCAATAACTAAAATATCCATTAAGTAATTTATTTGATCTTTCTAAAAAAATCAATATATTTGAAATTAAACATACATATTTATTTATACATACAAAATATTACTAGTTTAATTATGTTTTTATATTACATTCACTATTTTTCTATTAGTTTAAGTTAGAGGTGTGCAGATTATCAACCGATCCAATTGGAACTGACTGATCCAATTAGAACCGACCGACTATAATTAGATATCCAATTGTAATTGGATCAGATCGGATTGAAAATTTCAACATCCAATTACTCGTCTAATGACCATCCAGTTGTCCATCCAACCATTATCCAATTAATTTATTTTCAAAATTTAAATCGAAATTTGTTTTATGTGAGGCTTTGAATTTTTAACTTACCTTTTGTTGGTTTTAACACATATTAAAAGTGATTAATTAATTTGTACAATTGTTAGAGAATTGGATTGAATTAACACACTAGATAGATCCAATTTCATCGGATCATCCATTGGATATCCGATGGATATCCAATAAAAGTATCCAATTGATGAAATCGAACCGATCCAATAATCCATTGGATTTGACTGGATCGATTATCCAATGTTAATCGGACTGGATCAGTTGGCAAAATCCAACATCCAATGAATGATTGGATTGGTTCGGTTCATCTCAAATCCAATGAATGTCAACCGATGAACAAACCTAGTTTAAGGGTATTTGTACAATTTTATATCTGTTTTTATTATAAAAAATAAAGATATATAAAACATAATCATAGTTCATTAAAATAGTCGAATTAATAATGCTTTTTATTCATGATCTATGTTCAATCAAATATGTTCAATCAAGTCTGACAAAATTCGTTTAAACGTATTTTAGAATTGCTTTGAAAATGACTATTGGTTCTCGTTTGTTAAACATGCACTGGTTAAGTATCAAAGTAGTTGAAAATTTCACCTGCCCTGGGTATGAATCCAGACGTTGTCAAAACCCTTGTAGCCATACAGGTTCATCTGCGATGACTCCAACTCATTTATGGTCACGTAGGGATTAGTCTATGCACATAAATTGGCACGAAAACGAATAGTTACCAAAAAAATTAATAATGAATTAACCACAAGGGTTGTGCCTGATTGGTTTGAGCTTGGGCTCCAAAGGTCAAAGTGCCTGGAAGTATCAAGTTCAAATTCAAGAAGGAATAAAAATTCCCTTGTGGCTACAGAGGTTCAAATACGGTGACTCCGGACTACGCGCAAAGCAGGTGGTCGTTCTGGGATTAATCGGCTCGTATAGCGGGTTAGATATCCAGGTTGATAAAAAAAATTAATAATGAATTATGAATATATTTATTTTTTTAAAAAGAATTAATAATTACATCAAAATACTACAACTACAAAAAATAGTGATTATATTCTAATAAATACAATATATTAAAATTTTAAAATAAAATAATAAATATTGACGTCAAAATTAAAAATAAAATCATCTTGTGCTTTAAGGACTTGTACGTCCAAGTAATCTAAGCGCTTCAATGATTGTACTCTTGAACCTTCCAATATCAACCCTTATATTTTGCTTATCCAAATACATTTCTTTCCCAATATAATACCCTTTTGCGAATACGGATCCTGGATTCGAAATAACCGGGTCGGCACGTGCGTACGACTCAATAAGCGTGCTCTCCTCCGGTTCAATCTTGTAATCCAAATAACGCAACCCCATCCGAACCGCCGGTTCACCGAAATAAACCGTCGACGGCCACTCTAACCCTAGCGGCACCACCTGCACCACCACCGCCCCCGCCGCTAAAAACACCTGGTTCGTTATTCCGGCACCGTGAGCTCCGACGAGCACACTGCACGTGCTCACGAGTTTCGCGAATCGATCCAAATTCGACATCGTTTTGTCACTCTTCACCACCACAACTTCAAACCCTAATTCTTCCATCATGTCCACCATTTCATCTTCGTTCAAAAACCGCCTGGTTTTCCGGCGAGAAATTAAGAGCAAAACCGGCGGTTTAAGACCCGAATCGGAGACGTTCTTGATCGTCGTCAAACCATAGGTTTCGCCGAGGAAGTTTTTGAATTCGATCATGGAGTTTCCTTTAGGAATTTCAGAAGAATTTATTGCAAGAAAGCTATGGTACTCGAGTCCGACCACGGCTCCGGGAAAGCAATGAACAGTCGTGTTCGTCGTCGGGTTTAACACGTCGAAACTCGATAAGCTCGAGAGAACGCGATTGAATTTCGCAACGAAATACGGGCTGTAATCAACGAGAATGAATTGAACTCGCGATTTGAAAAGACGAGAAGTGATGAATAACGGGATTATGATTTCGTTGAACTCATGGAAGAGGTTTCCGGTGAAGCCGCCGGATGAGAAAACAATTGCCGGAATTTTATGATTGTAGTGACAATATCTCGCCGGAGATTGTGGTGGTTCATGGAGGAACTTGACCGGAGTTACATTCTCTAAGAGATCCAATTGTCTCCATGCATATGGTCTAATAATTTGTACAACTTTTCCCTCTTCTCTAACCGAAAAACGGGTACGATTAGTCGAATCGAGTCGAGTTGACGTATAAATTTCCATAGTTTTGGTGTCGATTTTCAAGGGGTTACTTGCAACACAAACTAACGAACCGATTGCCGAATTACACGCGAAACCGCTTGATTCGAGTGCACGTAAATCATCATCTCCTGTAACACGAATGATGTTCGGTTTTAGTTGTACAAATGGAATAGATTCAATTTCGATTCTAAGAGTATTTAGGTTATAGCAATTCCTACAATAAGCTAATTGTTTACCAATAAGCTAATTGTTGGCTATTAAGCTAACAGTTATCTGATCAAATAACTGATAAACATGTTACATCTGGTAAAATTTAGATGATAAGTTATATGATAATGTAAAATAACATGTTGAAAAATTAAGTCATTCTAACATGTCTGACCTGATCAGAAATTGTGAGGAAAAAAAATCTGAATGGAACGTTATTTAAAGTACTTTTTCATAAATAAGTCAGCTTATATCATTACAACAAAATTGAGTTTATCGCACATTTAAAATATGACAAATTGCATGAAAAGATAACATACCTTAACTTGATTCATATTTTTGGTAACATACTTTTAAAAAAAATTATGTTGGTACCTAAGATGTAAAGTTTTAAACATTTAAGTACTCGGGTAACATGTTGAAGCATTAACCGTTTATCATGCTGATGTGGCGAATAATGTAGTATCCAACTCGGTATTATTTGCTATATTCAACCCAATTTCATTTCATCACTCGCCACATCAGCATAGTAACCGGTTAATGCTTCAACCGGTCACTCGGATACTTAAATGTTTAAAACTTTACATCTTAGGAACCAAAATGGAAGTTTTAAAAGTACGTTACCTAAAGTAAGAATCAAGTTAAGGTACGTTACTTTTACATGCAATTTGTCCTTTAAAATAATGTTGTTTTAGTTTGTATGTATGTGTTTAACTTATCGGCCGGCTTTATACAAGTCAAACCACATTCTAAATGATGGTGCCACCGTGGCCGGTGGCGGCAGGTGGTGGTGGTGTGTATCGTGTTTATTCGAAAGAGAAGGAGAACGAACTTAGAAGAGATTTAAAGGATGATTGTATATGTTCTTCAAGAACACCAACTTCTTCCGTTGTGTCATTCAATTTCAACAAATTCCGCTTTCCTGCAAAATGCACACAAAAAAACGTACACAAATCTCTTAAATTCGTCAAAATCCCATATTGGAAATTGTGACGGAATCGAAAAACTAACTAAAAACGTACGTACCGAAGCAAAAATTGATGATGGGATCGAATGAGAAAGATAGGGTATAAAACAAGTAGATGAATGTAAGTAAAGCGATGATTTGAGTTGCACCACAAACCACCCTTCGATGCCCCTCCATCGATTCAAGAAATGCAAGCTTATGGTTTCGAAAGGAGTGGTCGAAATGATGACTCAAATGCAAGAATTCGAGCTATAAATCCAAGAAGATTGATCCAATTCTTGTCAATAATAATGTATATGAAGTCGCTTTCGGCTTCATATAGACATTGCCATTGTGGGTCTCATTCGATAGCGAATAAAGATGCAAAAAAAGAAAGAAAACCGTTAAAAATGTTATAGAAAACGATGTAAATGAAGACGACAACTGTGATTTTAGAACATTTGACTGAAATGCAAGAAACAACACTCACTACTACAAAAATGGGTATCACCTTCTGGCGGATATTCCGTCGGAAAATCAGTGACGAATTTCCGGCGGATCCCAAAAGAGTCAGGAAAGTTAACTTTTGTTGACTTCCACCACTAATCTGTCATTGAATTTTCTTTAAAAAAATTGATTTCGATAACTTTTCCAACGGATTTGTGACGGATATTTTACTTATTTATTCTTTTAAAGAAAATCCGTCAGAAATCCGTCACAAAAATTGGTCTAATTTTTTATATAAACTATTTAGTGTTAATTAATTAACATTTCCAGCGGATTTCAATTTTATGGTTTTTATTTAAAAAATTTAAAATCCGTTGGAAACTTGTTTTTTCAACAGATTTCCGAGGGATATTGCCGTCAGAAAAACCCCATTTTTTAATAGTGATTATATAAACACTGCATTTTTATCGTGTATATAAAACAACCCATTAAAATTGATTGTAAGTTTATATGAATTATATGTATATGTCTGCATATATGCAATATTTGATATAAAATAAAATATAAAATAGAATAATCATATTTTTTTAATAATTAATAATTATATGAAATTATTAAAAGATATTTAAAGTGATTGGGCCACTCAATTATTGATATTATATATTTCTTAATGATTTTATACTATTTAATATTTTTATTTTTATTTTCTTTCATTTTTGTAGTTTAACAACTTTGTCTTCACTTTTGTTTGATATACATGTTCTAAATATTATTGCTTCTTGTTTGTTTTCTTTATATTAATATTTAAATAAAACATGTGAAAGACAAGTTTCAACATATATAACCAAATGATTATTGGCTTAACGGTACGTGAGTTTTTAGTTTTTTAGAAGGTCAAGGATTCAAACATCATTAAATGTAAGGAGGGTGTGTGAGTTTATTTGTTCTATTTGTCGTATATAAATATTATATACTTCAAAAAAAGTCTTAACGTATATAATCATAAAACATGTTTTAATCAAAGTAATGAGAAGGATTAAATTCATTAATTTATCATGAATCTGTTATCTTATGAAAAATACTTAGGGGTTGTTTACTTAAACACTTATTAGGTAAGCGTTCATCGGTAAAATTTAGCATTATCACTTATCTTACCTAACAAGACTTTAGTCTATCAAAACGACAATAATCATATGTAAAAATCTACACGGTAAGTGCTAACCGAAGTAAAAGCTGTCACCTTCACTTACCGGATAAGACTTTCGGTCCTTACTTTTGCTCTTATCGAGTAAGATTCAGTAGTTATATTTATCTTCGTTTATAATTGGGAAACAGTCATTAACGGAATTAAATATAGATTTTTTGAGAAATAGCACTTTAACGTACTTGAATTTTCAAGCCCGCGTTTCATCTTTTTGAATAAAATAAACAATTTAAACAAATTCAGACATTTATCAGTTTACAAAAACACATACTCTTATTGATTCAGATTTTAGACTTCATTTCCTCTCTTCAAGTATCAAAATGAACGTTACAAAAATCTATCTATGGCAAAACTCGCACATATTTTTCACTTTTAGTGAGGCTTGAATTCTTGACGTCATAACAGGTTGAAATCTACCACTAACCTAGATACCGTTGAGTCATTCAATATTCATGCCGGAACATTGTGTATCCAACCAATTTCCCCAAAACTCCGACCAACGGCACTGCATTGCAAGTGCAAGCTTCCGTTTGCTCGTAATTTACCCGTACCTCTCTAAACCGATCCTTACAACATTCGGATTCGTTTCCCGACGACTGAACCGACCATGGTACCCTTGCATACACCCAATGAAAGCTTTGTTCACTTTGTATGATTCTATAGATGCACCTCTAGTGGTGATGGTGAGGCAGCAGGTGACCATCTTATGTCTATTATCATATGGCTTAGCCATGGTTGATCACTGGTACCATTTAGGATTGGCTATGAAATCTGGTTTATAAAATCATGGAACTTCAAAATTTAGAAATGGCGAAATTGCATTAAAAAGTAACGTACTTTAACTTGATTTTTATTTTGGATAATGTAATTTCAAAACTTCCATTTTGGTACTTAAAATGTAAAGTTTTAAACATTTAAGTACCCGGGTAACCGGTTGAAGACTAATTTTAAATTAAAAGAAATCCATGTCACTAACCACGTCAGCAAATAATACTTAGTTGGATATCACATTACTCGCCACATCAGCATGATAACCGGTTAATGCTTCAACCGGTTATCCAGGTACTTAAATGTTTAAAACTTTACATCTTAGGTACCAAAATGAAAGTTTTAAAAGTACGTTACTCAAAATAAGAATCAAGTTAAAGTACGTTACTTTTTCATGCAATTTGTCTTTTAAAAAAATGTTGCTTTTTAGACTGTTACAAAGGCATAACCATGATTAGGAGTGTACGTGGTGCAGTTTAAAGCTAAATGGCAAATCATAGCACATATATGGTTTTAAGATCTTTCCAAACCGCAACACAGCAAATAGTGTTGGGTGAGGTCTATGCGGTCTGTCCCTAACACATTTCAATCCGGTAGCTATAAAATCATTGCATTAAAATAAATTCAACAAAGACGTTTCCATATTCCATGCAATAAAAATTTCCAATACATTAACCACATCCTGATTGGTTTGAGCTTGGCTCCAAAGATCAAAAGTACCAAGAGATCCCAAGTTCAAATCCAAGGAGGAATAAAAATCCCCTTGTGGCCATGGAGATTCAAATGCGGTAACTCCGTACAATCTGCAAAGCAGGTGGTCTCCCCGGGATTGGGCGGCTCGCATAGAGGGTTGGATATCTAAGTTAATCAGAAAAAAAAATCCAATACGTCCGAAATATGCAATTATAGATAGTGTAAAACAAACTAACGAGTTTAATAACTAAACCAAATAATCTAAAGAGTAAAATTCAAAATAAATTCCAAGATAGAAAATTAAAAGGATGAAAATTTTATAAATAATCAAAAATGTATTAGTTATTTTCAATTAACTAAAGATAATGTATAGAACATACTACATCCTCAGGTGGCGAAGAGCCGACGTCGAGGTGCTAAACCTTCCCGAGTCCAATAATCGAAAGCATCACTAGCTTACGCTATGACCCGAGTTGCATGGGTCACGTGGAATCCCGTGTAAATCAGCAAGGACCACCTTACAAAGCTACATACTCCTAGGTGACCGATAGCGAAGTAGTACCGTGAGGGAAGGCTGATCCAGCCGCACCTTCCAGTATGGCTACATATGTGATATATGGTGTTATGCGGGTTGAACTACAATTTACTGATTCAAAACCATAAACCGCATTACAAAGTGTCGTCTGATGAAAATACAAACCATAAATCACACTACAAAAGTTCCAAATCGCACGTTACAGCAAAGTAAGATGTACGTAAAAGTGACTTTTAACCCAAAAAAAAAGGTAAAATGGTTAAAATGATCACTTTGTCATCTTTTTTTTTCATAACCTGGATATCCAACCCGCTACATGAGCCGACTAATTCCAAAGCTACCACTTGCTTTGCAGGTAGCCTGAAGTCACCGCATTTTAACCTATGTGGCCACAAGAGGATTTTTATTCCTCATTGGATTTAAACCTGAAACCTCCAGGCACTTTTGACCTTTGGAGCCCAAGCTCAAACCAATCAGGAACCACCCTTGTTTCACTTTGTCATCTTTTTCGATTCAAATCAAGAGATCAAGCACTTTCCCCATTTTCATCTTGACTCGAAGCAATTTCATGACGGTAAAACACATGATTCACATAACTTTTCAAACAAAAATACAACCAAGTCGAAAACAAGTTGGCAGGTTTCCTAGTTTAACTTCAAACACGACTGATTAACACGATACATGTTATGGTAACGGATCCTGAATAGAGTTTTATACTGCCAGAAACGGACCTCAAACACAACAAACCGAGACAATAACCAGCTTTCGGCAAAGTTCAACTGGCGATTTTACGGATAGACCCTAGATCATATAAGGTGATTCTACATTCAGAACTTGCCGAATCCACCGCCTGTTTGGTGCAGCATTGCATCTATCTCATCACCTTCCTCCATCTCTAGCTGTAGCAAAACATGTCGAAGATCAGCAAAGGTGGGGTCGGTTAGGGGGTGTAAACGAGTCGAGCTTTTAACGAGCTACTCAAGCTCGAGCACAGTTATCTCAAACTCGAGCTTAATAATTCTCAAAGTCGATCTCGAACACAAAAAAAAAAACTCGTTTAACTTAGAGAGCCGAGCTTCATAACACCAATGCTCGACTCGGCTCGTTCGAGAATTCGATTAAATTTTCCGAATTGAGCCGAGCCGAGCCGAGTCGAGCCATTCGAGGATACACTTTTTCGAGCCGAATATGCTAATATGTTATAAATCATACAATAAAAATATAAAAATTATCAACCTCGATCGCCAATAAACAAGTTAATCGATCGTGAATTCGAGCCCATAATCAAGATGAGCTCTAAATCGAAGACCTCCAGTTTGCACCCCTAGGTGTCGGTGTCCTCTACCCCAGAGAGTAGAGTGGTTGTTTTTGTGAAGACCTCCAGTTTGCAAAGAGTGCGAAAAAGAAAGCTTGCCAAAAAGTCTGAACAGTATGAAAAAAGAACTAGAAAACAAGGAGATTTTAAGGCTAAAGAAAAGCAGGCAGCAGCATATGATCAAATGGCCAGCAGGACTGCATAGAGCATATGGATATGAGCCAATGGTCGGATCACTCTCATAGAGATCTCCATTTGTGTTGTGGGCATGTTGTGTATGAGTATGAAAAGTAGAGGGAAACGGAGAGAAAGAGAAGGACCTCATCGGGAGTCTGTTCCCCACGAAGACGACGCCCATCAAACAAGAAGGCAATAGAATTAAGCTCCACAGACTGTCGATCACAGTAGGCATTCATTAGTTTCTTCAGTTGTGTGCTCCTTTTGATCCTAAAGAACACTTCATTACCATCCTGTAAACACAATGAGCAGTAGCACATGAGTTATCACTTCAAACTGAGAAGAGATTATAGCACATCACATGTGCCAAAACTGCAAATATACTCATATAGAGGACTTAGAAATTTCTTAAGACCCAAACCAACAATTCCTTGTTCACAAACTTCATTTGGGGATAATAGTTATCCAATTTCTTATGGCAGGTGAGCAGATCATAGGAATAACACAAGAAATGATCCTTTAATCTGGAAATAATTAAAAACAAAAGTAGCCTGAAACTCATTTCTTCAAGCCTAGATGAAGATTGACAAATAGAAATGTAAATCAAAATTGAACCGAAAGGTATGACATTCGAATTATAGAGTGATCGTTTAAGCTCGTTAAAACATGGCATCTAATTACAGAGAATCTGTAATTTGACTTTTGACATAATTAACATAATTTTAACAACTAGGTACCTACTACGCAATAAACAATGCATCATCGACTGTTGTTTAGAAAACAGCTCCATGATCTAAACCCTAAACCTAAAGAAATTGCTGTGTTACACACGATATCACTGCAAATCTTCGCAAATAATCCCTATACCTAACGAAAATGATGAATCTAAAACCAACTCCAATCAGTGAAACATAGAAAACGAAAGCCCTAAAAAGTGGAGAATTCTACGACTTTCAGAGAAAAAGCTACGAATTACTGTAATAATCGAGGAACAACAAGCATCTGATCAGATAAAAACTTGAAGGTAAGAGATACAAGAAGCCATTGATGATCGATAATTTAACAAAAACAGAAAACCCTAACCTGGCCTTTGACTTTCAAATTGATGTGTGCGCCTTGATCGCCGCCTGTGCCGGGCTTCTTGTCTTCATCGTTGTTGACTCCTGACATCTTTTCCGGCGAATCGATCAACGGATTTTGAATCAACAACGCTGCTTCGCCTACGCCTTCAACTACACGCTTTTTCTCTGTCTCTTTCACTATTTGAAGCGGACGGGTCGATGTGCTATATGGAAGATCTAACGGTCAGCATTTACAGACAGATATAGTGATTTCAGATTTTACTTTCACACCCCCATAGTTTTAAAGAATGACAAAACAACCCTTCACATCCACCTTTATACCATGGCCGGTCCTCGGAGTTTTTGTACGGAAGTTGTTACTTTATACCCTTTTCGGGTCAAATCAAAGCATAAATAATTTAAAAGAAGAGATACGATGTAAGAAAAAGAGAGATGGAGAACACAGGGTTGTCCCTTGTCCCCCGGCCAAGGGACAACTCGTGTGATGGCACAGCACACGGCAGCAACAGCCCAAGGGATAGCAACTCATAACCCAAACGATGTGTTTCTGCCCTTTTATGAATCAATTTCTCGACTACTTCCTTCTTCTCAAACGTCACCAAGTGTCTTCTCGATTTATCTGTTCTCATTGTTGTTTTCTTTCGTTTTGCTTCTGAATACGTCCAGATTTTTCAAGATTTCTTTCTATTCCTGTCAAATAATATGGTGTTTGTGTCTTGTCTGTGTTTCTAATTATGTGTGTGGGTGTTTGAGTTGGCCTGACCCCTAAGCTCCTGTCAAACGAAAAAGTCGAAGTAATGTGTGTACTTTCCCCCATTTCAAGTTTTTTTTTATTAACCTAGATATCCAACTCGCTATGCGAGCCGACTAATCCCAGGACGACCATCTGCTTTGCAAATAGCCCGGAGTCACCGCATTTGAACCTCCGTGGCCGTAAGGGAATTTTTATTCCTCCTTGGATTTGAACCTGAGACCTCCAGGTACTTTTGACCTTTGGAGCCAAGCTCAAACCAATCAGGCACCACCCTTGTGGTTATTTTTCATTTCTTTTTCAATTTCTTTTTGTTATCGTGGAAATCGATCATGATAGATGATAATCTGTGTGTTTATCTACGTGGGTTTTCGTTAACATATTCTTCTTTTTCGGGTTGAGGAGAGTGGGGTTTGGTTTGCTTTGCTTTGCTTTGTTTCCTTATATATCATTTACTTGATTGATCGCATGGTTTGACTTTTCCTCCGTTATGTTCTTATCTTTTCTACTTTTTAATTGTTTTAGGGATTTGATGGATGGTCGATATAATGATCTTCAAAGGGTTTTGAAATGGGATGTTAAATAGCTTAATTTCAATATATAAGCATTTTTTAGTTGATATGAATTCAACGCGGAAATTATCCCTTTCTATTTATTGTTCTCGGTTTTCATGCAATGTTGAATTCGGGATTTTGTGTTTAAATTAGCTCACAGCTTCAAAAATATAATTCAAATCCAAGTTTATGACTACAATCTTAAGAAATTTGGAGTTCTGTGTTTTGCTATTCTATTCTTGGCTTTGTAACTAAATGCATCAAAACAATGCTACAGTCTGACGATTAAATAACTGCTATTACAGTAAGATTTCCTTTTATCTATAATCATCAAAAATGTAAAAAAAGACAAAAAGTTACATGTCATCTGTTACTTACGGTATTATAACAGTTGTGAATAGCATATATGGATCCGAGTTGTGGGAAATAGAGGAAATGGCCATCGTATGCATGGCCTAGTCGTAGAAACATACCTTATGACGGAGTCGGGTATCCTACGAGTCAGAGATAAAAGATGAATCTGAACTCACTGGAGAAGTTGGTAAGAGGCTAAATGCAATTGCTCGTATTCTTCTTAGAAGTGCAGTTGGCTCTTTGAAATATGTGTTCGTATTTGACTTCATTTCTATGTATCAGTGTGTTTTTTAGCATTCTATGACTTTTTATTGCAGTACAGATCTAACTAAATCAGTTGATTAGTCAATCCTAGTGAACCCCATGGAGCAAATCGTCTTATTTACTCTTCTTTTTTGTTTCCTCCTCTGTAGAAAGTTGTCAGTGTTTAGCTTTTTTGAGATTTAATGTATCAATCGGGTTACTTGATTACAAAACCACATATCACGATTCAAGTGATTTGTGGTTTCTTTATCGTGTAACCTTATTGATCGCCTGAATCACAAAAAGTTAAACATGGGCAACTTCTTATAGCAGAGGAAACAAAGAAAAAAGAGTGAAAAAGACAATCTACCCCATGGAGTCGAGCAAGATTGAATGATTAACTGATCCCAAAAAAAACGTACGTTGGAAAAAATCTGAACCCTGAAAAACACACTGATACATAAGAAAATACTGAAATAAGAACAGATATTTCATAGAACTAGTTGAAACAGTATAGTGTTTTGCACTTATAGGAACACGATCAGTTTCATTTAGCCTCTTGCATACTTCTGCATCGAGCTTGGGCTAATCTCTTATCTCTATATTATAGGAATACGCATCCTCGTCATAGGGTATGTTTCAAGGGCTAGACGATCTATTTGATGGTCACATTTCCTCCGTTTGTGCACACATGGACTCATCGTCTGCTAACCACAAGGGTGTTAATAGACACTATCGTAAATAAAAGATGACACGTAAATTCGTGCTTTCTTTGTATTTTTTTTTATGATTAGATATTTAAGAAAAGTGGGGGTATAATAATAATTATCTAATAACGGACCATATCATTGTTTTGATGCACAGAATTACAAGGACCAAAAGTCTGAACAAAAATGAAAACCCCAAATTTATCAGTATTTTACATAAAGTTAGAATCAGATTATGTTTTTGAAGTCGTTAACTGAATCAAACATAAAACCCTGAATTCTACATCGTATGAAAACCAAGAAAATTAAATGTAAAGAAATATTTCTGCCTTAATTCATACCAACTAAAGAAATAGTTACCGATTGAAAGCAAAGTAATTAACATCTTACTTCAAAAAAAAACCCTTAATTGACCATTACGTCGACCACCTATCGAACCAATGAAACAATAAAGAAATAAAAAAAAATTGTGCACATAAGAACACGCTGCGAGGAAAATCAAACCCTAAAATCAGTCAAATAATTGATAACAACTAAGGGGCCGTTTACCAAACACTTACCCGGTAAAATTTTAGTCAACAAAAACAACTTTCTATGTGATAATTTACCCGGTAAGAGCTAACCGTGGTAAGAGTCATTGCCCTCACTTACCGGGTAAGACTCTCAGTCCTTGCCTCGTTCTTACCGGGTAAGATTTTTTGTCCTTACCATATTCATCCGGTAAGGTAATATAACTTGGTAAGCGCTTACCCAAGTAAGCATTTGGTAAAACGGCCCTAAATAAAGCAAAACTAAATCACCCCTTTTCCAAAATAAGGATTTAATCAGAACCCATATAAAGAAACACAAATTTTCATGTATCATGATCGATGTACACACAAAACAAGAAGACGTTGAAAAATAAAAGAAAAAAGCTTGAAAAAGGTTTGATTGCATAAATTACGACTTTTTCGTTTGGTAGAAGCTTTGAATCAAGTTGATTCCGGACTACCCGCAAAGCATGTGGTCGCTCTGGGATCAGTCGACTCACATAGCAGGTGGTCGCTCTGGGATCAGTCGACTCGCATAGCGGGTTGGATATCCAGGTTAATCAAAAAAAAATCAAGTTGACTCAAACATCCACGTACAAAAATCAAAACACAAACAAACGCAAAGACCTCCTTCATTTTATAGAATTGGAACGAATTCAACAAAATCGAGCAGATTTGGAAGCAGAGAAAAAAATAACAACGAGAAACCCACAAAACAATAAAAAAAATTAACAACAGCAGGAAAAATCGAGCAATCAAACAACTGATAACAACAAAAGAAAGCAAAACTAAATCCCCATAAAGAAAAACAAGATGTGAACCAAAACCTATATAAATAAAGACACGGATTCTCATGTATCATGATTGATGGACATAAAATCAAAAAGACGTTGAATTTTTTTAAAGAATCGTTTCAAACGGGGTTTATTGCATAAATTACTTCGGCTTTTTCTTTTAGCATAAACTTTGAAATCTAGTCACCCAGATAAAGAAATCGGAACACAAACCACACTTTTCATTTTATTAAAACGGAAAAAATCCAAGAACAGATTGAACAGATCTAAAAGCAGATAAAAAACAGTAAGATACCCTCAAATAATAATAAAAAATGTACAACGCATAAGAACATGTTGCGAAAAAAATCAAACCATGAAATCAATCAAACGATTGATAACAACAAAAGAAAGCAAAACTAAATCAACCCCCTTCCCCCGAAAAACAAGGTGTTAATCAGAAATCATATAAACAAACATACAGATTCTCATGAACCATGATTGATGTACACAAAAATAAAAAGACGTTGAAAGATTCAGGGGTTGATTGCATAAATTATGACTTTCATCTGGCAAAAGCTATGAAATCAAGTCGACTCAAACACCCACAAACAGAAATTGAAACACGCACAAACACAAACATCGCCTTCATTTTATAGAAGTGAAAAGAAATCAAGAGCAAATCGAGCAAATCTAGAAACAAAGAAAAAAATAGTGAGAAAAAAATCAAGGAATTCGACGTCGTCATCTGAGAGGAGGGAACTCATCGGACAATCGATTTTGAGATGAAAGGAACAAGTAGCAACACAGGAAGGAATTCGACATCGTCATCTAAGAGGAGGGAACTCATCGGGCAATAGATTTTGAGATGGGAGGAGCAAGTAGCAACACCGTGCT